AAATAATTTCCTCTTCCGATGAGGGAATAATTTATCTTATCAATATGAGATTTGGCCAGCGTACGAGACTTCCAACCCCACTAGTTTGTGTTAAAATAGAAATGAACCAACGTGCTTGTTAAGCGAGTGCGCTTGCTTCACATAATGGCGTAGCAGTTAGTAAAGCAAGTTTAGGCCCGTTTACGCGGACAACCTGTTCTGTAACAATTCATATAATAATTCATAAAATAAAATGTGCTAATTCCATAAAACATTGATCTAAAGAGCATTACACAAAAAAATATAAAATAAACAGTATAAATAAACAAAATAAAAAGTAATACTTAATTAATTAAAAACTGGTGTTCAACTGATTTACGTAGCTCAATAATTGAAACAATAGCCCGTGGCGGATTTCCTACGCAAACGTAGCTTATATTTATGTGATGAATGGGTGCTATAAGGGGAGACTTCGTGGTTTTATTTTAAGCAATGCAAGACACGCAAAATGGAACAAGTTGGGAAAATTGGGAATCAGAGCGCCGTTCAAGATTAAGGTATCGGGAACGCACGCTTTTAAAATCATGACCGTAACCTCTGTAACCAAGACGTTTGCTAGAAGTTCCAAAAAATGTGGCAAAATGCCCTTAAAAGTTTGAACCAATTTACGTAAAAGTTACTGGAGATTTATCTTCAGTCTGCGCCATTCAAGAAGCTCGATCAGTGATCGACTGAGCTAACTTGGCATTAGACGTTTCACAGTACCGTATCTTTACATCAATAAGGTTTGTGAGCGTGACATTCAGAGAAAATGAAAACAGCCATTACTTAAACAAATAAAAGTATAATAAAGTAAAAAAGACGATTCTTTCAGTTTTTGATTCAACTTTTAGAATTTGGTGATTGAGATCAAATGAAAGCACTTAATTATGCCGTGTGTATATATATATATTTTTTTTTTTATGAAAGGGGGGTTCTTTTTGTTTGTTTTCTTGGTTTGGTATTTTGTTTTTGTGAATAGGGTCTGAATAGTCCTGTTCTTCAAAAGTTATGTCAGGCATGCTATGGAAAAATATAGCTTAGCAAAATCTTAGCCGCCCTGGCTATATAAATATATAGTGCTTAGTTTTTCGTCATTTGTGAAAATTAATATTCTGTTAACTATTAGCCCTTGAACGTTTGTTCCGTTTGACCATAGTTAGTAGAGGTATGGTTTGACTGGAATAAAGACTCGTAAAACAGGCAGGGACACTCAGAATTGCTTAGTATTTGCTGAAGGTTTACCTTATTTGAGAAGATTTAGGAGAAAATTTTGAAATATCTAAGAATACTTTGGCGATTTCGAACGTTCAATCGTCATCTTCGTTCTACGTAGCAACTCGCCGTGTGCTTGCGGTTTTTATCGATATGGATATTTAGCGAACGAAGAACGCGGAGTCAATTTTGAAAGTCGATGAAAATCGCCACTTGGCAGTGCATTCTCAAAAGTATCGGTTAAACTGATCTACTTACTTTTTGGCTTAATACAATCATTTGTAGAATTTTATTACTAGTTGCCTTATGAAAATGGTGTAATCTGATTAATTTAATTGACTGAGCTATCGTATACCACACAATCATTGATGTGCAGTGGATAGAGGTCGAATTCAAAATGGCGACGTCTTCCCATTTTTCCGAAATTTGGAAGGCAAGTTTAGAAATAATTTGTCACCTGAAACGTCAGTCACTCCCCGCGGAAGATTGTTACCGTTGTGTCACTCAAATTTTCATTTAGCTTCAAATTTTTCATTGCGGAAACGAAATACACTAAAAACGCCTTCCTGGCTATGTTGCTGTAGTGTTACTAGTTAAGTCGAAGTAAAGCGATTTCAGGGAGTTTTGGCTGCATTGTTTTCCAGTATTTTTGACGGGCTGCGATGAGAAATATTCGTTTGCCGGCTATCAAACACGCACTATAAATGGTGACATCTGGAGGCGATGAGAGCTTTTCAAGCAAATTTATGGCTATTTCCCGCCTGGGCTTCGCGATGAAAAATATCTGTGAGATTTGCGAGCTCACATTCCCCCTTAACGGACGTTTGCCGGCGATTAAGGAAAGCAATGCTGGGCTTCGCCTTCAAGGTGAAATCTCGAGGCGATAGGAGCTTTTGACGCAAATTTATAGTTAAAATAATATATTCCTTCGGCCCGACATGATTTCGACCTCGCATACTTCCACACCAAACAAACACAAAGACCACGTGGTCCCGCAGGATGCGGGTTAACTTGCATATGTGCCTGCAAAGAAGAACAAAAAAAGAAAAGAAACTCGACCGAAACTTTGACGCGGCCTGCCTCAGATCAGGCATTCCGTGTAAAAAATACACTAGCTCAATTAGCGTCTATTTTTGGTCTCGGAATTTATGCAAGTGTCATATATATCGAAATATGCAAATAATCATAGGACCTCAAAGGTGCCAAGATGCCAAGGGCACACAATCGCAAATCATACCGAGATTTCCGTTCAGTCTCGCTAAGCCGATAAGCGAATTAAAAATTACGGAGGTACCTGTGTAGAGGGTCACCAGTCAGTGATTTCTTAATTCAAGTTGATCACATTCCATCTTTTTTTTCCTTTTCGGATGTCTTCGGAGGAAAGACAAGTTGAACAATTCTCCATCGTCGAACACACGGTTGCCACTCAGTGGAGACTGCATAATGTCAATGTAAATTCAATTCTTACAAAACAAATGACGCTGGTCTTAATAAATCTCTTTAAAACGCAGTTTGATACGGTTGTTTAGAAGCCAGCTTTTAAACACAGTACCATCTTATTTCGTTAGTTATTTCCTGGTTTCCAAATTTGTAAGCCGTAGTTTGATTGAAGCGTGATGACAATCTACCACCTACGTTTGTCTCCTAGAACGGAGAACCCAAAACCGGAGCATTTGAAATCACCAAATTTTAGCCAACATGTGGATGATTAACAAACGCGGGACAAGAGAAAGTGCACGTATTTGGTATTATTTTCTGTTTGATTTACGCAAACGGCGATACCATGACCCCTTGTCAATCATCGCCAATACAAAGTTCAGCGAGGAAAATTCAGGAATGGACTGGACTTTGTTAATATAGAACGGACACACAAGGACCTGGACAGACTTTCTCTAATGATAACGAAACAGTCATTTATAATGATGGTCTCTTTACATTTGCATATGAAATCACATAATTATAAGTGAAATCAGATGCATTGAGCTGAGTAAGCCGGTGTTTCGTAATGGTAATAGGACTGAGTGGAGTCCAGTTCGGTCTGTAATCATACGAGTGATCATGATAACAAAATCGGACGACCGCGCAGCGGGAGTCCGATTTGTTTATCACGAGTATGATTACAGAACGAATAGGACGACATGAAATTTTATCACCAATTAATCATAAAAGTTACAATTTCCGAGAAAATAAGAATAGCCAAGTTATGAAAGGAAGGGAAAATTTGCATTAAAAGACTGATTGGTTGATTTAAACTACAACTTTGAATGTGATTGGCTTATTGAACTGTCCAATAACAAACTGTCCAATAACAAACTGTCCGATAACGACCTGGTAAGTGAATTAAGTAAATTAATGAATTAAGCTAAATGAAGTACAATTTGTATTGGTAGTCGTAATGAAGCGAGTGCAATTAAGAATTTGCACTACGACGTATATTTGAAGATTCTCTTAAAATTGCACGTACCTTCAAGCGAGTGAAATTTAAAAGAATTTTCAGATATGATCATATCTCTCGTAGTGTAATAACTTACACACGAGTAGCGCAAACCCAATAGCAAGAGCTTTCATACGATTACTCTCTCATTAAATGACTGAGAAAATAACGAGCGCGCGGACGTAAATTGGCACTGAAGTACGAATTGAAAATTAACGATAAATTAACCTGAGAAATCAAAATCATCTTATCTCTTTTAATTCTGGAAACATCCAGATTTTCTTATCTTCCTACAGTATATCTCCTTAGACAGTATGCCTTCTATAACACAATAGTCTCACGATAGGAAAAGAGTTTTGCGCCATTCTCAAACTCATTAATAATTCATCACGATAAAACAAAGAAAATCACAACCGTGCAGGTTTAGATACTCGGTCCTAATTAGCAGAGTTTGACGATTTTACTTCTCCGTTTTCTCCTTAGTTTTTGTTTCAATTGAGAAGATATATCAAACACTCGAGACAATGTTTCATCGGCTATCCAAACACCTTGAGTTTCATCAACAATACTCCGCTGCGCGTCGTATTTTCAACTTTCTTCTCGGTGTTTGGATATCCCGATGAAACACTGTCTCTCAGTGTTTCGTCTTTGATATATAACAAGATGAATCTTTACTTATTGTGCAAACAGCTTTTTATATCACCCAAATTAACAATGAAAAGTGAACAGAAAACTAATACAAAATATTTTTTTCCCATCCCTTCTACGAGGTGTGTTACGAAGGAATATCGCACATTTTGGAATGAATCGTTCGCGATGACTGCTAATTACTTGCAATATTTTCCAGAGTTTCCATTTTGTGAGTAGAAGTTCATTCCACATGACAACTAAAAAACGGAAAAACAAAGAGTTAATGTTTGGAAGCTATCAATTTGAAGCTTCGCGTAACTAACCATTTCAGCAGAAACCACTTGCTCAGTCAACTGTCCAGAACTAAATTGGCAAACTGAATGAGTTTTGTAATCCTCCAAGAAAAGAAACTCCAACACAACGAACAGGTCTTGTGGAATCCGCGAAAACTGAAACACATTCCCGTCTACAGCCGAGACTGGTTTTGCTTCCGCGGTCTTAATGAGCTGTTCCGACTGAGGTGTTTCGCCTTGTCCTCTCTTTATAAAGGGAAAATCGGAATTCAAAAAAGTCGCTTAAATCAAGTTCAATCGGTAAAATAACCACACCAGGAGCAAAGAACACACGTCTGGAATAAGGTAAGCCATTTTTATTGAGAATTTTCACTTTTAACTACCTCCATGGATATCTTGTAGAAAATCCCATATAAACCCTTATATTTCGATGCCATATTGTGTTGCTTGTGTGGTTCATAGTGAGAGCTTGGGCTGCCTGTGCTTGTAGTAGGTAGCTGCATCATGCAGGACGTTTTTGCAAAAAGGGGGCATGGCACACCATGAAAACTGTCACTGCAACATGTTTCCTAGTGTGTGCCGACCTTCAGGGCCGGATTGCTCGAGACCCGGTTAGCGCTATCCGAGGATTCAAAGTTAACCATTAACTTTTCTTCTATAAAAATGTCTTTCACTTCTCATTGTGTTTTATGTAGTTTGAGATTATTCAAAATCAAACCTGAAGGACAAACAATATAAACAGACACCTCACCGCAAAGTTACAAAACTGAAATCAAAATTCTCACGAATCCTGGGTTAGCTTAATCGGGCTTTGAACAAACCGACCCAGATGTTTTGATCACCATGAGCAATACTTTAGCAACGAATATTGTCATAATATTGTAATGCTCTGTAGGCTTCTGTTCAACTCTCAACTTCATCGGAGCGTTGTAGTCCACAAAGTCAAACCCCTATTGAGAGCTTTCCTCTCTCTCACCCCCAGAGGTTTTGATTTGCCCCCTTCAGGAGGCTTCTTCCATAGCTGGTTTCAGTCCTCTGATGGTCAGATCGTAAACAACTTCCTCGATTTTCTTCAGGTCATATTTGAGGCCGTCAAACTTCTTTCTCAGAGAGTCATTTTTAAGATTCAACAGTCTGAAGCCGGCATCTAGTTCTGCTACAAATGCAGCTATTTTGTAAGGCCGGCCATAATCCGCAGAGGTTACACTATTCACCGCAAACCGAGACTGTAAAAACAATCAAACATATACCTGTTAATTTAATTAAGGGGAGTTGTAATTACCTGTGATTTTCATTCATTTGAGCACAGGCTTCCACAATGTCTTAGACAACAATACATAAGCACCAGTATCGGAGCGTTTTTACATCACGTCACGCAACCATGTTGGTGTTCCAAAACAATGAAATGGCGGCCATGTTGGTGTACCAAAACAATCCTGCGGGAGTTGAACTCTTTTCTTATGTGAATACTTTTTTTTGTTCCAACAAATTTGCATGGCTGCTGGCCACGTGAGTGAAAAGGCTCTATAAATATGTCTTGTAAACCAAGCACGAGGGTGGTACTAGGATCATGGGCCGATATTTTACCTGTATGGTCACTGTCAAGCTGGGTTATAACTCATTTATTACACGACTGAATATGGTAATAGATGTCCAACAGCAATTAAATAATGAAAGAATGAAAGATGCGAATGCAGCCATAACACGACAGGAAAAATGACCTGAAAAACATCCCACAATCACGGACTAGACAGACATCGTAAACTTCTAATTGAGAGAACCAACACAAAGAAAATAGAGAGAAAAATAGAAGAAAAAGAAAGGCAATCTTTTAAGTGAGAATTAGAAAAGTAAATCCTAAAAATCTTCCACAGTGATTGTGCAGGATCATACAGGGCAGTATCCGATCCAATACTCTCAAAACAATATACAGTAATATACAGTACAAGTCTGATTAGTTTACCTTAGTCATTGCCCCCCTGAACTAACTTAGTTGAGTAATAATAATGATTATTTCAGATCTTATTATAGTAATTAGCGTTATAAATACAGTCTTGTAAATAGGAGAGGGTCAGACACTTCAAAAATAAAAGCTTTTCATTCATTTATTTGTTTGCTTGGTTTGTAAAATTCTAGGTGACTGACACTGAAATTTTAACATGTTATGATGTGTAGTGTAATGTAAGATTCCATGAGCCTGAAGTATGTATTTAGATGATTTTTACAGGTAATCTTTAACATGGAGAGGGAATTTAAATGGAAGAGCCTTGATGAATTAATGTATGTATGTAATAACTCTATTTGGGAATAAAGAATCTTACAATTATTATTCAGATCTATTCACTAGCAGTGTCAAAATCATAATCTAGCTGAATGGAGGTTAGATCCTCTACAATCCAAAAAAGATAACTGTGGTGGTTCTCGTTCTCCAGACTTAGCACTGAATCTTGATCATTTCATTCCAAATTCCCGGTAATAGGTCATTTCTGAGTCACCTGTTTTCAAACAAGTCCTCATAAAACCTGACCCTACAGGGGACACTCGTTTTAATACGAATGGTTTCGCACAAAGACTCCTTTTGACACAGAGGCAAAAGGTAGTTCAGAAATGACACATTGCATAGGTAGGTTAAGTCTGCATATGAGCCAAGTGGACCATCAGGCTGGAGCTTATCCCAGTGTCCATATCATGAAGCGACTACAGTGTGTAGGAGTACTTCTACTCCCCCTGGATGGGATGCTAGTCCATCCCAGGGTTACCCCAACATTAAATTCGCTGGTACCCATTTGTACACCTGGGTCAGTGGAGAAACGCACTGTGAGAGTAAAGTGTCTTAACCAAGAACACAGCACAATGTCCCAGGCCAAGATCAAACCTGCACTGCTCGAACTGGAGATGAGCGCATTAATCATGAGGCCACCGCGCCTCCACATATAATGCATAGGACTGTGAACAAAATTAATGTATTAACTAAAGATGTACATACATGTATATAATGCACAAACAGGATCTTTTCCTCAATTTTAATTATTTTGATCTACTAACTATGTTTTGGTGATGTTATCTTTACCATAATGATTGCAAAAAGAAAACATATCATTATGGTTTGCTAAGTTTTTCCTTCAAACTGACTGGTGAAACTTACGAGTTCATTAGCAAGAAGAAGAAGTCCAGTTAAGAAATCATCCAGATCAATATGGAAACCATCGGATGACCGCTCCACTTGGACTGTAATAAAAAAAAGTCTTTATGTCAATCACATGAAAAGGAGAAAAATACATGTACCGGATATATTACATAAAGCTTTTTCTGGGTTCCCAGTCCATGAGATTATACAAGCACGGTAAGTGGGTGAGCAAAACCAAACCATCTGTCTGCCTTAGTTTTTAACATGTTCTTGGGTAACCAAGGTAACTCTCCCCCACCCCCTTTTAAGATAACTGTATCAGTGTTAATGTGAGAAAAAGTTATCCCTGTTGGCCAAGTCAGGACTTGCATTACGTGATCACTCGTGGCCCTTTGGAAATATTCAAATACTCAGTTATCATTCTTACCTCGAGTTTCCTTCAGTCAATTGACCAATGTGTAACTTGAACTACATTTCATTTCGTCAAAATTAACTTCTGCTTCAAAACCTCATATCTGGGCATCACATAACACTCAGCGTGACACAAGTTGCTTAAGGTAGGCAGGCAATAGCGCTGATGGAAAAAAGTTACCCTGCCTACCCTCTGAGGTGAAACAGCTGCAGCTCCCCGTTTTCCCTTCCCCCACTGCCAAGACAACCCAGGGAGAATCATTACATCCCCCAGGTAGCTGTTGTAGGTCAAAATGAAATTCAGGTTAAAATGAAATTCCTTTGTCTCTTAACCCTAATTATTCATGGATCATGAATACCAGTAATTAAGGCTAAAAGACAAAGGAAATTGATTGCTACATGTTGGACATCTATTACTATGGAATTAACATACTTGAGCCGAGTATTACGTCCACTGAACATAAAGGGTCAACCCATACACGACCGCTCTCATGTGGCTTTGATAGCTCAGTTGGGAGAGCATCACACTGGTATCGCAAAGGTCATAGGTTGAAATCCTGTTCAAAGCCTGAAAATGTTTTCAGGTCGGTTTTTTCCAGTAGTGTTACGGCTGCATTCGCACCTATCATCATGGCTACGTTTAATTGCTACTGTTGGACATCTCTTACTATGGAATTTACATACTTGAGCCGAGTATTACGTCCACTGAACATAAAGGGCCAACCCTCACATGACCGCGCTCTCATGTGGCTTTGATAGATCAGTTGGGAGAGCATTGCACCTGTACCGCAAAGGTCGTGGGTTCGAATCCCGTCCAAAGCCTGAAAATTTTTTCAGGTCTTTTTTTCCAGTAGTGTTATGGCTGCATTCGCACCTATCATCATGTCTAGGTTAAAATCATTTTAACCTGAATTTCATTTTGACCTACAACATAGCCACAGCAAAGTAATGAACTGTACAGTAAAACTTATGTCATACATGTACATGCACCAAATGGGTTTACATGTAAATGCTACAAATTGTAGTTTCTTGCCAATCAACAATCAGCACAATGATCTTTACATCCACATAAATTGCAAATTTTCTAGATACCTCCCAGCATTTCTGCCAGCTCTGGTCGTGTGATTAGCCGATCACTCTCCAGGTACACAATAAATGCTCCAAGATAGGCAAACCGCTGACTCACAAAGCGCCAGTGATCACAGAATCTATAATGAATATACATCCACTGTAAGGTACAATTTAGTCAAGAAAAATTGTGAGGATTAGATGAGCCACCCGGCTCATAATTTATGTGCATGTGTGCCAGTAATGAATCCTGGTTTTCATATTAAATAAAATAAAAGGCCACTCTATATTAATAGTTTTAAACAGACATTAAAACTTGTAAGGTACTTAGCTTAAACTGTCTTAATACTAAAACCTAACAATACAATCTATGTGTATTTAAAATCAAAGAGATATCTATTTACAAAGCATCTCTTAAACCTTTCACTACTAACACATGGGACCTGGTAGGCAGACAACCTGTTCTTTGGTGGCAGGAGAAGATCCTGTCCGGGATGTGAGGGAGTGCCCACAAGATTATTCCACAGCCTCGAGCCCCTTCCTTTACCAATCTGTTGGATCGGCATTACTTGTTGAATATATCTGAATCTAAATGCCCTTTTCTGTAGCCTATCAGTTTGATTGAAGCATTTAATATAGGCAGCCATACCCCACACTAAGAAAGGTAACCAAAGAGTGACATAATAAGAGAATTAAAAAGATTATAAAGGTCAGTTAAACTATAACCAGATGCTTTTACACACCCTATATATACCGGTACATATGCATTTAAGAGCTCTTTCCATCAAATAAGTAATTAAGTAAGTAAGTAAGTAAGTAAGTAAGTAAGTAAACTTTATTTAAGTGTCGGTCATTCTAGCGTTGGTAGGTCAAGGTAAAGTCTGCATATAAGCCAAGGAACCCATCAGGCCAGGACATATCTCCGGTTTCTGTAGCATGAAGTAACTAGNCCATTGCAGGGTTACCCCCAGCATTACATGTAAGTTGCCGGTACCCATAGTTATTATATGGCTAGCTCCATGAGCGGGCAAGATGAATCAAATCCTGCTCTGTGATTGGCTACCAGAGCGGGCAAGATGGAGCTATCTTGCCCACTCGGGACTACCCGCTGTGTCCCGTCCAAGAACACAACACAATGGCCCCTGGTGTGGGCTCGAACCTGGACCACCCGATCCAGAGATGAGCGCACTAACCACAAGGCCACCGTGCCTCCCTATCCCAGTGGCAGGACTATCCTGAAATATCACTCCTAGAAGCTTCACAGCATAGTGTTGCTATAATCCTCTCTGGACAATCTGTTAATGAGTCAACGACCAACTGACCAGCTCACTGACTGACCAATCAATCAATCGATCGATCGATTGATTGATTGATTGATTGATTAGGCCATGAAGACTTCAGCACTTGCATTTCCAGAGGATTTCACGGATAAGCCAAACTGCTCATTTTAACACCATATTTGGGCAAGTCAGGGTGTAGATTTGACATTCTATGCAGTTAACACTGACCTGTAATATTGACCAGCTGGTATTTTCTCCACAAGATTTGCATACTGTGACTTGACAACAGTTAGCATTTGTCTGCTCTTAGCACAAGTTTTCTTCACAGCTGAACATAAATTTGACCATGATCAATAAATCATGTAGCTGCAATATAGTTTCAAAACATTGGCGTGAAAATATGCTAGCATATTTGTCTGCAACATTATCTGTTCCGGGAAGCGAACAATTTTCTGAGAACGTAGCTCGAGAAAAACTTTGAGCTTCGAGGAACAGATCAAGGACAAATATCCGAGCATATTTTCACTTGTGTTTATTATCCTTCAAATCTTTTTCGCAACACGTAGCGTTGAAAATTGGGGAATATGTTCAGATATTCCCCAGTTTTCGCTGAGGAATATTCGGTCATGTGACGTGTTTAAACCAATCGTGTGCGAGATAAAATATTTGATAGATTATAATAATGATTAGTTATAGTACAGCTACTCCAACCAAGGCCACCCAAGCAAATTCTTTGCAATTTAAACAAAGCATTTGAATGTTAAAACAAAATTGATTTTTTTCAGCCACTCCCTGCTCAAATTGATTGTTAATTATTTGTCAGAAAACCATTGCTAACATCCAGAGTTTCCATTCACTAAATTTGCATAGACTTTTGTTGGTTGCCTTGGTGAAGTACAGGACTTGCACTGTAATTATACAGTTGAACCCTGCAATTTCAAATTCTCAGGGAAAATAAAAAAATAGTTTGAAAGAACCGATGGTAAATGGCAGAAGGGCAAATATAAGGGAAATGTTTGTTTTTTAATTTAAAATAACAGGGAATTCAAAGTAGCTGAGTTTGAATTAGAGAGGTAACACTGTAGTAAATAGTACATGTAATTACAGTGCAGCTCAGATGTATCCAAACCATAATAGAACCGGGGATATGTACACGCTTCAACAATCCCATCTTCATGGAGCAAACACAACTGAAAGATAACTTTTTTTCGACACAAAGTAAACACGGTCCAAGTAAGCGTGTGACTTGGAAACGTGCCGAAACACACAACTTTCCCTTGAAGAACATTAAAAATAACAAAATGTGAGTGGTGCACCATAGAAACTTCAATAATCAATTCTTTCATCGGGGAAAGAGCATTTTACCATTTGAATGAACAGTCTGTGTCAGATATAACTGGAGATATCATTTTCTCAACAAGGTCTTCGGAATGCTTAAAACAATAAAAATTCTCGCAAGCAACTCGCCAACGCATGCCAAAACACAGAACTTTTCCTCGAAGAAAAAATAACTAAATGTGAGCAGCGCACCATAGAAACTTTCATAAACGATTTTTTCGTCAAGGAAAGGTTATTTTATCATTTGAATGAATGATCTGTGTCAAATATAACTGGAGATATCATTTTTTTGACTAGGATCTTCAGAACACTTAATTCAGACAAACATTTCGCAAACGACTTGCCATCTTTACTTGTAAAAACATTAAGTTCACATGTTAAAATAGGGAGTTCAAGCGACTGTTTCAATTTTCTTCCTTCTGGTAGCTTACATGTAAGATCAAGCAAGTGTTAATCAACGGTAGTTTGTCGGTGAATTTGCGAAGTGATTGAAAACTCAAAATATGATAGCTTTCATTGATCAGCAGGACGTCTTAACGACATGCAAATTTCGCTTTGAAGCCTTTTTCATTCCCAGAAAAATAATGTCCCCTTTTTGACCAACAATGCTTCACATAAAGAAACTCATGGAAATGCATAACAAAGAGACATACATGTATACGCATGTATATACACGCATGTGTGTCCATATTAACATATGCATATACGCAAAATGTGCTCATATAATACGCATATGCGTAGTTTGCATATATCTGAGCTGCACTGTATAATAATAAAATACAGTAATTAAATCATCTCATCAATTAAATCATTTCAGGCTACAAACAACATAATAATTTTGCACCATGTTTACAAATCGCACAACCTCAGTAAGGAACTCGAAAAATTTCTCACTCGTGTATTGAATTAAGCAAAGTCAGACACACCTTCAGGACTTGGAGATTGATGCACTGCTTGTAAAACAGCCAAGACTTCTCTTGCAGACTTTTCCAAGTCACGGGTGACTGTCTTTATTTCCTAACAAAATCCAACATCCCAGTATCAGTACCAGTGGCCGTAGTTTGTCCAGAAGAACAGTACTAATAATGATTCCGGAAATGGTCGGAAATCAAATGGAAAGGTCCGGTTCGGTTCCTTCCGACCGGAATATTCGGGATCACCTGGAGGTGCCCGGGTCCACTTTGACCGATCGGACTAGCCCGACCAAAACTTGCCGTTCCATTTTGACAAACCGGTTCGTTGCCCTACTTCTCTTCACTTATGTAAGGAATTCGGAAAATGAATAAGAAAATGGTAAGAGTCATTCCTCTTGGCTGGCCCGGTTTGATCAGAAAATGTCTTTCCATTTTCCTCGGGTGTTCCCACCGGTCTCTGACCGCTCGGTCCAGCATAAATGGAAAGCACCCTCTGTGCCAGTTTTATGTACGTTCAGGGGAGCCTCAAGATTGCTCCAGAGTCAAAAGCAAAGAAAAATATACCCATTTTTCATTTTTACTTAGCTCCCCAGAAAGGAGAGGGAAAATTCAACAGATGCACGTGTACGTGAAATTAAAAGTTCTTTTTGAAGCTGATCTGGGGAATAAGTCCGGGGTCGTACAAGCGGCGAGAATCTCGCAAAACGCACCTCTCTTATTTCTTGATCGTTAGATAAATAATCCTGAAAGGAAGCAAACAGAGATATGAGTGGTTTCCCCTCTTCGGCTTCCTCTTTCTCTTTCGCTTCGGCCTCCATCTTGTTGAGTGTACGTTACTTGCTGAGCAGCGGTGCGCTAAATAAGATGCTGCGCAGGAAAAACGCGTGCTACGCTTAGTTTCCAAGATGGCGTCCTTGTCAACGAAATTTATTACGGAGCTTATTTTAAACTGTGATCTGCGTCTAGAATCTGTGACTTGATTCACTGTTTGGCTTTTTGTGATGGCGTATATGAAGCCACATAAACCATCGGCAAGTAAGTCAGGAAACAGTTCGGTAAGTTAGTTTTAACCTGTCATTCTCGATGGGTGTCTGTTGGTGCTCAGATACATGTACATGTACCTGTAAGTGATCATTTTACTAAGCAAAACTTGTTACTAAGCAAAACTTGTTATTTTGGGTTACCAGCAACTGTATGTATTTTTAATTTATTTATTAATTAGTAATTAAGTTAATTTTACAGTTCAAATAAACCTTGTTGTTGTTACTCTAGTGTACAGATTTAATGTATTATATACTTTTGATATCCAACGAAATGAACCATACGGGTAACTAAACACGAACATATTTATACAAATTATGAAAAGTACATCATGTACACTATAAAGTAGTGATAGCTTAACTTAGCTTGCATGTACTTTTTAACAAAGTTGTCGATTTTATTTACAAGTGAATAATATTTAAGAAAGATCATACATTTGAACTGCGGAGAAAGATATGAAGACATGATTGATCATTGAAGATATACACACAACTTAAGCAGCTGTAAAATTAAAGCCTGAAAAAAATTGGGGCTTGAATGGGATTCAAACCCATGACCTTTGGAATACTAGTGCAGTGCTCTACCAACTTGACCTATCAAGCCAACTGGGAGCTGGTCACTTTGTGAGTTCGTAATATACCTGTAGATGGTGAAGAATGCAAGTGAGTATGTGAAAGATCATATATTTGAATGGATTATGATATGAAGACCTGACTGATCATGGCAGTTATACATGCAACTTAAGCAGTTGTGAAATTAAAGCCTGAAAAAAATTTCCGGCTTGAATGGGATTCAAACCAATGACCTCTGCAATACCAGTGCAGTGCTCTACCAACTAACATCTTGAACTATTAAGCCAGCTGGAAGCTGGTCACTTTGTGAGTTCATAATATACCCATAGATGGTGAAGAATGCGAGTGATCATCTGAAAGATCATATATTTGAAGTGTAGATTAAGATATGAAGACATGATTGATTGATCAATCATGTCTTTCAATTTTATTTTCCAGTCCAATGTGGCACTTGCTGCTGTTGCTCTTCAAGACCACATGACTCGTTCTCTGTCCCTCAAAGACCCATTCAAGAAAAAGAAAATTAACCACAGTCTTCCAGCAGCAGCTAGAAATAAAAAAACAAACAAGGCAGTGGTAAATACTTCTAAAGAAGGTGATGACAAAGAAGAATATGTTCTTGATCCAAAACCAGCGCCCCTTACATTGGGTATGTTTTTGCTAAATTGTGATTCAGTTGTTGTAATTATACAGTCATGTAAAACATAAATTAAATACAACAGTTGAACACTAAGAGGCAGAAGTTAGTGTCCAAAATGTGGAGGGATCTGGCCCCAGTTGTTCAAAGGGTGGATAGTGCTATCCACCAGATAAATCACTATCCAGTGGATAAGTGTTAACAAATCAAACCACACTATCCACCAGATAGTGATTTATCCGGTGGATAACGTTATCCACCCTTTGAACAACTGGGGCCTGTACTGCAGAGGTAAAGCTATATATGTGAATTCTGGGTCACCTATCTGAAGAATTATAAGTCTGTAAATTTTTATAGAGGTGTCCAGAAGGACAGGTTTGCAGGTCTATCAGGGCTGTACTCTTAGAAGTGCCTGGGTGCCACAGGCAATGAACTTTTACCTTTGGGTGACTGAAAAAACTTACTTTTTTCATTAAGCTTAAGTGTTGGGCACCCAGGATTTTGTGGTTAGGAATCTTTGGGCTCCTTGTTATTTTTTAGGACACAGCCTTGCAGACTATAAATGTGCTACATATAACATGTTTGCATAGTTTTGAGCAGGTTTTTTTAATCTTATTACATGTACACTGTACACCTGTGCAGTGAAAACCATTCGTGTTCACATCATGGCAACATAAAGACAAAGATAATGCTGAAAATTCAGCTTATCTCAGGTTATGTGTTTTAGACCATTTGTAACATGTACATCCTGAGTAGAAAATTCCATTTTTTTACAGCTCAGAAACTTGGCCTTGTTGAAGCTCCAGAACTCCTCCTTTCTGACAAAGAGTGGAGGAAAATCAAGGAGACGTCAAATGCAAGACAAGACTCATCTCAACCATGTGTGATATGCAAAGAAGACTTTGGTCTACAACAACAGGTATGTAACAACTTGTAGCCACCATCATATTGAACATCAACAATTTTTTCAGTGGATAATATTGAAATAAGTAAATGAATGCAATTTTTTAAAAATTTATTATGAGTTCTAAAGTCGGGATTGTGGTTTTTTGTGTCTGGTGTCAGGTTTTTTTGGGGCACATTACTCTTTAAAAGATGAATAATTTATGTTCTGAAAAAAGCGCTATATTTACCTATTATTCTTTCTGCATCAATTGCAGGTTTTGTTATCATGCACCCATGTTTTTCACAGGGTATGTACCATACATTACCATACATTGTACATATAAAAAAATATATAATTACGATTGAGTTTAAATTTATCATGTAGCTTTAAGCTTATAGTAATCTGAAAAAGGGAAATACATGTAAAAATCAAACTGGTTTGAAAGAGTTTAGCAAAAAATAGATTTAAACTACAAGCCATGTGCTTCAACCTCACTACACTCTGGAGCAGGACTGACTGGCTGAGAGGAGTTGTGTGGATCTGCATGCAGTGGATATGAAAAGTCCTGGCTGTTATATAAAAAGGGGCTGTTTAGTATTTTTGGGAGCTGACTGGGTTAATTGCTCAAGTGAATGCTCAAGGCTCCTCTTGCATAATCTAGATTTTTGTTCCTCGCCGGATTATCATTATCATTATTATTGGACTTTAATTCTTGTATGATTCAAAATTTTTAAGACAGTTTGTTGTATTTTTATGTCATTATTTTTACTTTTTGTCACTAAAATTAATGTACAGTACAGTTGTTATCATTTATGTTCATTATAAAATGCATCTCCTAACACTAACGAAAATTGTTTTGAAAAACTTTAACCACTAAAACTAAACCACAATATATAAAGCTTAACTTTTTCCTAATTTTTCTTATTCCCTGCAGACCTGCCTTGAAGCATTTGAGAGGTTTTCTGGTCGTAAATCTTGCCCCATGTGTAGAAAAGAGCAGTATCAAAGACGGATTATCCATGAAGGCGCTAAGGAGTATAGGATAAAATGTGCAACAAGGTACATATCCTGGCCATGTCAGTTAGTACTAATTCAAGATACACTTGTATTGTGAGCACCAATATGGCGGTGCTATTAGGGTTGTGAATCTTTAAAGCTTAGACAAGATGGCAAGATTAATATGTTTTTTTTCTGCAGTGGGGGACGGAGCTCAAGACTATCTTAGCCTTGCAAAAGGAAGTGAGATTCTGAGACATTTGAAAAATTTTTATTGCATGACCCATGAAAATCTCTTGTGAGAGGCATACATGTAATCCTTGAAGGAGCAGCCACCTATAATGTACCGCAGTCTGTGTACAGCCAAGGAGAGTGAGAAGCTGTCAACAGGTTAAGTGGACTGCTGTACACAGTCTGCATTAACCACACCTACTATTATGTGAGCTTAAAGAATACGCTGAAGCTAACTGATGATGCAACTTGCATAAAAAAAATGTGGGTTATTGTTTTGAGTGTTCTACTGACAACTGTTCAGTTGAGTTTTTAAATTCTTCAATACCTGTCTGAGTGTGTTTTATCTTTGAGCAGAATCCAAGCAGCTTGGCGTGGTTACATTGTTCGGCAGTGGTACAAAAAGCTAAGGCAGACAGTCCCTCCCAAAGATCCAAAACTCAGAAAGAAGTTTTATGAAGACAAGGTATACATAAATTGCATGTCATACTGCTGTCAGTCCCTATTGTGTGTTAGATATGGATTGCCTCTCCCACCAATGCTTACATCTGCTTTTTTGCTTCTACAAAAGGTCATAGAAACTCGTGTTTTCCCCTACACTTCTTTCGTGCTCTACCACTTCCTGCGTGCTTTACAACAGAACAGAGCATAGTTGAGGCTTCTTTATTTATTAAATACGAATCTCAGAATGTTTTAAGACAAGAAGTTTACTTGTAAAAACTATGAAATTATTCTTATTACATGGATAGATTTTTTATTCTTGGTTTCTTTTTCATTTAAGTTTCAAAGCATAACTGATCGCCTTGTGCAGTCTATGGAAGCCCGAAATCAAAGTGTTGATGATCTGCTTCTGGAGATTGACCAATCCATTGCCGTCAGCCGTCACACAATGAGGTACTCTTTTTCTGGTAAATGATAAATAAAATTCAATGTAGTGATAGCCATATGTCCACTAATTGTATTAAATACACCGAGCTTGGTTTTTTAATTCACCGCCAGTCGATTGCCCATTGTCTTTTTGCAAAACATTTTTCACTTGTTTCCTTTCTAGGCAATTGGACGGAGAAACTGGGGAAACATTGGCAGAGACAGACTGGGATCAGGTTCAACTTCAGGTGAGAGAGAGACTGTGTGCTCTTGGTTCAATAGACTGTTTTCGATATATTAAAATTCAGCTTGATAGTGAGGCCTTGAGGACACAAACAAAAGAAATGAATAAACATGGTCGTTCAATGTCCTTTGTTTGTGTCCTCTAAGTCTCACTGCCAAGCTGAGTTTTAATATATCGAAAATGGACTATTGCCATCGTTCTATTGCATCAGAAACAGTGCGGTATCGTCACTGGTAGAAGAGAGAAGGGCCCGACACTTTGGTATAAATCATTGACCGTGTTATTCAGTTACAAGTAAAGTTCATTAAACAAAGAACTGGAGCATACAGATTATTATAAATAAGACACCTAACGGAAGTTATCTCGTAACTTGTCGTGCAGTATCATCTCGGGAAAGAAATGTGGCTTACTGCACTGGGACAAAAGAATTCGTTATCTACTGGTATATTACGAACTCAGTTCTCTGAGTCGGTAGAGCACGTCACCGGTGTCGTAGAGGTCAGGGGTTCGAATCCCATTCAAGCCCGATTTTTTTCAGCCTATTTTCCAAAGTGCGTTGGTTGCATACATACTGCAGTGATCTCTTGTGTCTTTAAAAAGTTGAAGTTATCCACGGTTAGGGTGGAGGGGTTAGTGGAGCTCACTGACAGATCTATTACGGTGTTCTTCACAGAGAATCAAGTGATACATGTTACTAATTTATGACATCAATGGCACTAATGAGTTAATTGATGAGTAACCGATTGGCCACAAAATTTCTTGTCAGCGATTACTCATTGATGGTATCAGCCCGGAGAGGGCTCCCATAAGAAAAGGTCGGAGATGCACGTCGGCTCGCTTAGGGATATAAATCGGCAGGGGACTATTTTGTAGAACGTTGAACGCCGATCGCCAAATGCACTGTTTGCTTGCGGTTTAGTAGTTTCGCTCATGTTTGCTTGCGGTTAGCTTTTGTTTATTAGGAGACAGCATTATATTGCATATGGCCCTGTCCCACAAATAAAAGCTAACCGCTAGCAATGAAATAACCGTAAGCAAACAGTGCTTTCGGCATTCGGCGTTCGGCGTTCTGCAAATTACCCCTGCCGGGTACGAAACGCCGCTTTTTTAGCTGTCAAAGGAGCTCAGTTTAGGGTGCACTCGAAGAAATATTTATAAAAGACATGCTCTTTTTTTCGTTTTAAGGCTCGATTTCCGCCGGTCTCTACTAGCGCGGAATTCCTTTCCTGAACAGCAGCTGGTAATCGAGTCTATGTCTTTTAGGGGTTTAATTCAAATTTTCCGACAAGCATCCCCGACTGTTTCATATAAGAGTCCCCACCGGGGGGAGGTGGGGCTATTAGTCATCGATTACTTACGTCTGGCTTGAGCAGGTCAAGACACTATTGAAATTACTTATATTTTTATTGAACTGTATTTCAGGCAGTACAAAGATGTGTGACTGACTGTCCAATTTGTATTATGCCGCTTACTGACCAAGGACTATACAAAAAGAACTCTTCATCACGGCCCACTGTTTTGCTGTCGTGTTCACACGTGTTTCACGCCACCTGTCTCGAGGCGTTCGAAGAATTCTCCTTGGACAAACGACGTGTGTGTCCCGTCTGTAGGTCTCTTTACCGCAAGAAGATACTGTAGTAAAAGCACAGAAAGGAGTCCAATGTCCTTAAACTTTTGTACAAGTATCTTATCTATCATTTCGGAGACTTTGGTGGTTAACTGGTATCGATGACACAAGAAATGATCGCGAAATCTCCAAACCAAAAAGCTCTTAAATTTAGAGCGATCACAGACAGCCCAAGCTCAGCATAGAACGTAAACGCGACTGTTCACGAAGTATTTTGTTACAAAGATTTAATTTATTTGGGTTTATATGAGAACTCGACGGCTATTCGAATGACTTATTCTGTTACTAAAATGTAGTTTTCGTCGTTAGCCCGCTCCTCAAGCCAGTTTGAAGTCACAGTCATGTTATTTCCACGGAGTGACGTTCGCGCTCTCTTCTAGCAAGGTTGGGTTGCCTGTCGAAAAGTATGGCAGTTTGCGATATATCCACTGACTTCGGGCTATCCTCCTAATCTACGATGCTCAAATAAGTTAGTTTTCTCCACTTTGATAAAGACATATTACAGATATTGGTATAATTTTTTTGTTTCGTTTTGTTCCTTCAGCTTAGTTTTGCGGTGCCGTAAGGATAACATCTTTCCTTCAAGGCAAAAGTTTGCATGATTTAGACAGGGGGGATTTTAATACTGGTTTCCATCCATTCATAATAAGATTAAGAAAGAAAAGGGGATTACAGCTTACATTCCTGACATTCCTTCCAGTTTCATTCGCTGAGAAGCTACAATCTTGGTCAGAATAAAATGAGAAATAAAATCACCCCTCCCCCCGAATCAATGATGAACTGGCGCTAAACCCAAAACGGGCCATTTTTCCATCATTGAAATTTGGAAGGGGTGGTCTTTTTCCTTTAAATTGTCCAAGATTGTAGCTAAATATTTATTTCTTCAATCCAAAACAACAGTTTAAGGGGAACGTGGAATAACGAAATTGTTTAAGGAAGTACAGACCCCCAGTACAAACGGAAAACGAAATTAAATTCATTGCTTACTCTTGAGTCCTTCCTTGTTGAAGTATTTGTTTAGTACTCTTAATTGGCTCTTGAAATTACAATAACACTTCAGCGTTTATTATCTTTGTCAACTGAACCATAAAACCGCTTGTTTGCATAACAACACCAATTTAAGTGCTTGAGTATACTCTTCACCATGGCAACACCTCAATGAGTGGTTTATAATTACAGTAAACGCTCAGCTTTACATTTACATCAAAGTAATTGTGAGAGGTGCTTCAAGGTTTCACACAAAATGTCCGACGACAGGCTGTTTGCAACGAGTTACAGATATGAAGTGTTCAACCCGAACGCAAAGACTCTTCGAAAAGCGCTGGCACTGCAAAGATCGCGGATTGAGGTGAGAAGAAAGTCATATACCGGCTAATTTAACACTGAACGTATTCGTAACGGATTTTACGCGTATTCATTCATCACACTTAACTCTAAACGTGTCTTGAAATTTGCGGTGTGCGCGCGTTTTGTAGGTAGTGTTAATTAACTATCTAATCACTTTATTGACGACAATGTGTATGGTAACATTTACCCGACAACAAGCAGATGAAACGTAAAAAAAATTGTACTTGTATGTATTGGTAATGATTAGAATAATAAACAAGAAAATAAGAGTGTGATTCTTAAATATAATTTAACTGCTTTCACTTGTTTCACAGATAGATGAAAAGATTGCGCACAGAACAGACGTGGAAAACATGTAAGTTCCCTTTCATTCTATTTAACTGATGTGTTATTTTGTTTTTTCACAAGCCTCCAAGAGAGGCGCGATGCGTGATACACGGGCGCTGAGAGTGAATGATCATGATCAGTTTCACTACGCTTATAAGGTGATAATTACGTACTTCATTCCTGTCCCTGATTGATATCTTCAGAGAAGTTGACGGGAGTTTATCCGTTTTTTTTCCCGTTCTTTTTTGAATTGGGCTGGGTATGGAGCCCCTCTTTACGGCTACTCCGTTAATACAGCCACCTCGTCATAACGGCCAATTAATTCTGGTCCGCACAAAGGCTCAGTCAGTAATTTTCTTATTTAAAGAACCTCTTTTAGTACGGCCACCCCGTTAACACGCCCATATTTTGTGGCCCGTTGGTGACCGGATTAACGGAGTTCCACGACATATCTTCGCAAGCCGTGATGTTACATGATGTTACGAATCCTTTATAATGTACTCCGGCAAGAGACAATCTCTCGCCGGTAGCTATAGTTACATGAAAGACCGTAAAATGGATGAAACGTTTCCTGTTTTTCCTGAAATGTGATCTAAATGGATACCTCCCCTCCCATACCCGGCCTCTTTACAATCTTCGCTCTTGTGTTAGATTCGTTCTTTTGCTGTTTTTGTTGTCGTTGTTCTTGTTGCTTTCTGTGATTTCATCTGATTTTTACCAGTTCCCATTGATCACCGACTTTGTCATGGTTGCAACTATCGTTGTGTCCAAAAAATAAATAGCATCTAGTCATAAATAAACATAATAGTATTTCTTTCTCTTTTAGAGTCGCAAGCGAACTAGAGAGAGCCCGATGGTTCAGCAGTCTTGAAGAGGTACGCCAAGGCTTTATGTTAATCTTACATATTTTCCTAATACTTTTGTCATGAAGCAGAGAACGAGTAGAAAGGAGAGTAATGTACGGTATTGTGGTGTAGAAGAGAGTACAACATACTGTAGTTTACATGATGTCCGTAGTCGCGCAAGGCACTTACTAAGGCATGGCTCAGGTTAGATTCGCATTTGTGTTTCTTGCTTACGATAATCAACAGTTCAAGCCTCTAGAGAACTGACATCAAGATACGACACTAGGGGTGCTGATCTGCTGTTATCCAACTACCTTGACCTGAATGCCATTAAACAAATCCAAATTCCAAATTAAACTATCATGAGCATGACTTCAAAAGTTCAAAACCTAAATTACATTAGTATTTGCACTGAATTGCACTGAGGCTATTAGTGCATTGATGAAGCTCTATATATGAAGGGTGTTAGTAGTTACTCATGCAGGTTATGATGTATTAGTATCACCCAACTAGTGGACTAATGCAAATCCTGCATTTTAATTGGCTACGCTACCAGAGGACTGTTAGTAATAGTCCTCGAGTAGCGAAATTGGCGCAATCGAACGTGACGCTTTCTTTCGTTTTATTCCGAAATAAATATTTCTTCAACTTGCATTTGCTAACTTTATTATTGCCTTTTCTGTCCGACTAGTTGGGTGATACTAAAACAATTAGACCCTTCGCCCTCAAGGGCGACGGGTCAATAGCCCATTCGGCTTCGTCTCATGGGCTACTGACCCGTGGCCTTTGCGTGCTACGGGTCTAATCGTTAAATAGACAGTGTTTGTCCAAACGCCGAAAAGACAGTTGAAAATACGACGCGTAGCGTTGTGTTTGTGACGAATTTTCGAGGCGTTTGGAAATGTAGTCAAACACTGCCTTAAGAATTTGATATATCTTCTCAATCGAAACTGAAGCTAAAGAGAAAACGGAGAAATAAAATCGCAAAAAAACTATGCTTATGAAGATCAGATACCCGAGACCACCAAGGCTTAGCTTGACTGGCTTATATTAAAATGAGTTTGAGAAGTCAAATTTTTGTCTTGAATAGAAATTTGTTGACTGTTTGCAATCTACACGTCATGGAAACGAAAAGTACTGAACTTAACTTGTGTATATTTCTCACAGGACAGTGAAAAGAAACGAGAAAGAAGAGAAAACGACCTAGTAAACAATGAACTTAAGATGGCAAATAAGGAATTCATAAAGGTATGATTGATAATTGAGTGATAACCAACAAAAACGTAGAAAAAACAACACTTCCAATGTTCCAGGAGAAACAGAAATCTTCTTCATCATTTCGCCTTTGACGCCAGTACAGTGTACGTGCAAATAAAAACTGCCGCGTTGTCGATCCCCATCTAAGGCCCTCTGTTTCGTGCTGCCGCCTTATTCTACCCTCTCCACCCTGCCTTTTCTTCTGCCTCCACCTTCCTTGTGTTGTGTTCACGGCTGCTTATGTTCTGTACATAACTGCGATAATCATTTTCAAGCTGACGAGCGCGAGTCAATGGAAAATTATAGCCCGGATTCAAGACAGCTACGTGGGGTAATTGGTAAACTTAACCAATCACAAAGCTTGATCGCAAGTCCGTCATTGTCTAATAGCTTCTAAGTTTCGGGCCGGGTGGTCTTTTTCTCCGGGTGTATGGGCCTCGACTGTGTCTCCAATCCTAAACACCCAAAAGAAGATCTTGACCAATATCCAGCCATCTTGATCTCACACTTGGTCAATGACCCAATTTATTATATGGCTGTGGCTCACAAGGAGTGGGAACTACCGAATTCACGAATTTGATTGGCTGAAATCGATATCGAAAGCGGTCTAGATTTTTCTATCCAGACCGGCGTCTAGACCGATAATATTTTGCGGTGAAAAGTGCAGACTAAAATGCAAAAATATTGACTGTTTTCTTCTACCAGTATTTATTTATCGAAGTGCAAAACGTCCGATGACAAAAAAAAGTAAAGAGGATGAGCAAACTTTGGCAGAATTAAGTTCAGCTCATCGCTGTTCGCAAGCAAAATGTCAGCTAGCACAAACCAGTTACATTAAACGAAATAAATTGTTCTTGTTTGTTCCATATAAATAAACATCTTATTAACCGAGCTTAGTCGGTCTGCATGGGAGAATCTTGACCTCGGTCGTGTATACAAACCTCACTGCGTTCGGTCTGTACTCACTACCTCTGTCAAGATTTCCCCATACAGACCCCCTGCTCGATCAATAAGAGCTAAATAATAAACCGAAAACACCCTTATTCTTCCTCTATTTCAACCTCAATAGGAATAAAAGGCACACCGCGGTGACGAAGATAACAAAACAACGCGTGTCGCAAACAATTTGATATTAGGACCTTGACATACACCTTCAGGGGCAACCATTTAAATTACAAAAAACTTTAAATGCCTTGAATGAAAACGCTGGCAGTGAGAGGCTTTCCCTTTAACAAGCTTGATTTTTTTATGTAAGTTGACAGTTACTTGTGATAATACATTGTTCGTGGCTAGTCTTACGCAACGCTTTCGTTATTGTTTGTAGATTTCAAGCGGAAGTTTTTTTCCTGATTAGGTTCCAGCAAGAGATTATCAAGATAATCTCTTGGTTCCAGTGTTTCACTTTGTTTCTTTACTTCTACAGATCCGCCGTGCGCAGCTGAGGAAATTGTTAACAGAGGAAAATATCCAATACGAAAAAGAGCTCAACGAAAATGGAAAAGCTTTCTACAAGAAAAGAATTTAGAGTGAAAACTCTCGATCTATGATTTGAGTTCACTCTATGTAAAGGAATAGCCGTTTAATAATTAAATACGTGTTGAATAGTCTAAAAAAATGTGGCATTTTACTTTGTCGTTACAAATATTTTAAGGCCGAAAGTAAACAATTTAAAGTGCGGTTCACAGCCGTTAGTGGAGGCGCGGTAGCCTTAAGCTCATGGTTAGTGCGCTCGTCTCCGGATCGAACGGCCCGGGTTCGAGCCCTCGCCGGGGACATTGCGTTGTGTTCTTGGACAAGACACCTAACTCTCAGTGCCTCTCTCCACCCAAGTGTATCAAAAACACCGAAATACTCCTAGTCGCTTCATGCTTCCTGAAACCGGAGATAAGCGCCAACCTGATGGGACACTTGGCTTGCATGCAGACTTTACCTTATAGCCGTTCACTGTTTACCATCCGTGACTTGTCATATGGTTCGATGGGAGGATAAGTTTCTGGTAGACTTTAAACCCTCCCCGAGAACCCTGATCAGAAATAGCCTTAAATGGCACTCCCGAAGTGGTACTTGTATCAGTTAATTGCAATTTTGATGATCGTCACTGCGGTTTTTTTTTTTTTTTTTTTTTTTTTTGGTTCTTATTTGGACGGTCTAATCGTCATATCAGGAATTTTGCGTTTCGCTGAAACGTCTAGGTTTACATCCTGTCATTGTACGTGGGAACAAGAGATTACCTTGATAGTCTCTGATGGGAACCAGAAGTTAAGGCATGTACAAGAATACTGTATGGTAAAACTCTAAACAAGACGATATGAAGCACAATTCTCTAGGCATACTATAACGACGTAAAATACAACTAGCGCTGTTCAACGAACCATGCATATGGACTTATTTTCAGGAAGAGCTGGGGTGGGGAGTTTATCATCAGCAGGATTTTTTGGGTCCGATATTTAGGGGAGGTGGAGCACATTTTACGGGCGGGGATGATATTAACATGGGCACTTCATGATTTTTATAGCTGCTTGTAGTTATTGAGACACAAGGTTGCTCGACCAGTTATTCATTATTAAACGTGTTGCTCCTTGTTGCAAATATCATACCTTATTACGCTGTACTCGCGACATCTAATTTTGTGTTTTTTGCGCCTTTTTAAAATAAGGCTACTTCCCCCACTACGCCGGAGAGTTTTTTAAACGAAGCTTTATTTCTACGGTTAGGCCCACTATCCACACTAATCCGTCATGAGAACGGAGCTTTTGAAAAATCTCTACAAACCTGAGGAATTTGATAACGCCGGCTTTCCTGTCTTTGTGTGGAAGGAAAGCATTTTGAAAACGGAGCTTGCGAAAACGATGGCGTCACGATAATCGAGTGATAACTCTGAAAGAGTTTTCCTCAAACACAAATCCGCAATGACCGGTGATTGTGGTGTTTTTTCATTTCTCGGGGGTAGTGTGGACGGAAAACATTTGATGCGTTTTCAGAGTGAAACCTCCGCCGGTTTTCAAATTTCTCGGGGGTAGTGTGGACGGAAAACATTTGATGCGTTTTCAGAGTGAAACCTCCGCCGGTTTTCAAATTTCTCGGGGGTAGTGTGGACGGAAAACATTTGATGCGTTTTCAGAGTGAAACCTCCGCCGGTTTTCAAATTTCTCGGGGGTAGTGTGGACGGAAAACATTTGATGCGTTTTCAGAGTGAAACCTCCGCCGGTTTTCAAATTTCTCGGGGGTAGTGTGGACGGAAAACATTTGATGCGTTTTCAGAGTGAAACCTCCGCCGGTTTTCAAATTTCTCGGGGGTAGTGTGGACGGAAAACATTTGATGCGTTTTCAGAGTGAAACCTCCGCCGGTTTTCAAATTTCTCGGGGGTAGTGTGGACGGAAAACATTTGATGCGTTTTCAGAGTGAAACCTCCGCCGGTTTTCAAATTTCTCGGGGGTAGTGTGGACGGAAAACATTTGATGCGTTTTCAGAGTGAAACCTCCGCCGGTTTTCAAATTTCTCGGGGGTAGTGTGGACGGAAAACATTTGATGCGTTTTCAGAGTGAAACCTCCGCCGGTTTTCAAATTTCTCGGGGGTAGTGTGGACGGAAAACATTTGATGCGTTTTCAGAGTGAAACCTCCGCCGGTTTTCAAATTTCTCGGGGGTAGTGTGGACGGAAAACATTTGATGCGTTTTCAGAGTGAAACCTCCGCCGGTTTTCAAATTTCTCGGGGGTAGTGTGGACGGAAAACATTTGATGCGTTTTCAGAGTGAAACCTCCGCCGGTTTTCAAATTTCTCGGGGGTAGTGTGGACGGAAAACATTTGATGCGTTTTCAGAGTGAAACCTCCGCCGGTTTTCAAATTTCTCGGGGGTAGTGTGGACGGAAAACATTTGATGCGTTTTCAGAGTGAAACCTCCGCCGGTTTTCAAATTTCTCGGGGGTAGTGTGGACGGAAAACATTTGATGCGTTTTCAGAGTGAAACCTCCGCCGGTTTTCAAATTTCTCGGGGGTAGTGTGGACGGAAAACATTTGATGCGTTTTCAGAGTGAAACCTCCGCCGGTTTTCAAATTTCTCGGGGGTAGTGTGGACGGAAAACATTTGATGCGTTTTCAGAGTGAAACCTCCGCCGGTTTTCAAATTTCTCGGGGGTAGTGTGGACGGAAAACATTTGATGCGTTTTCAGAGTGAAACCTCCGCCGGTTTTCAAATTTCTCGGGGGTAGTGTGGACGGAAAACATTTGATGCGTTTTCAGAGTGAAACCTCCGCCGGTTTTCAAATTTCTCGGGGGTAGTGTGGACGGAAAACATTTGATGCGTTTTCAGAGTGAAACCTCCGCCGGTTTTCAAATTTCTCGGGGGTAGTGTGGACGGAAAACATTTGATGCGTTTTCAGAGTGAAACCTCCGCCGGTTTTCAAATTTCTCGGGGGTAGTGTGGACGGAAAACATTTGATGCGTTTTCAGAGTGAAACCTCCGCCGGTTTTCAAATTTCTCGGGGGTAGTGTGGACGGAAAACATTTGATGCGTTTTCAGAGTGAAACCTCCGCCGGTTTTCAAATTTCTCGGGGGTAGTGTGGACGGAAAACATTTGATGCGTTTTCAGAGTGAAACCTCCGCCGGTTTTCAAATTTCTCGGGGGTAGTGTGGACGGAAAACATTTGATGCGTTTTCAGAGTGAAACCTCCGCCGGTTTTCAAATTTCTCGGGGGTAGTGTGGACGGAAAACATTTGATGCGTTTTCAGAGTGAAACCTCCGCCGGTTTTCAAATTTCTCGGGGGTAGTGTGGACGGAAAACATTTGATGCGTTTTCAGAGTGAAACCTCCGCCGGTTTTCAAATTTCTCGGGGGTAGTGTGGACGGAAAACATTTGATGCGTTTTCAGAGTGAAACCTCCGCCGGTTTTCAAATTTCTCGGGGGTAGTGTGGACGGAAAACATTTGATGCGTTTTCAGAGTGAAACCTCCGCCGGTTTTCAAATTTCTCGGGGGTAGTGTGGACGGAAAACATTTGATGCGTTTTCAGAGTGAAACCTCCGCCGGTTTTCAAATTTCTCGGGGGTAGTGTGGACGGAAAACATTTGATGCGTTTTCAGAGTGAAACCTCCGCCGGTTTTCAAATTTCTCGGGGGTAGTGTGGACGGAAAACATTTGATGCGTTTTCAGAGTGAAACCTCCGCCGGTTTTCAAATTTCTCGGGGGTAGTGTGGACGGAAAACATTTGATGCGTTTTCAGAGTGAAACCTCCGCCGGTTTTCAAATTTCTCGGGGGTAGTGTGGACGGAAAACATTTGATGCGTTTTCAGAGTGAAACCTCCGCCGGTTTTCAAATTTCTCGGGGGTAGTGTGGACGGAAAACATTTGATGCGTTTTCAGAGTGAAACCTCCGCCGGTTTTCAAATTTCTCGGGGGTAGTGTGGACGGAAAACATTTGATGCGTTTTCAGAGTGAAACCTCCGCCGGTTTTCAAATTTCTCGGGGGTAGTGTGGACGGAAAACATTTGATGCGTTTTCAGAGTGAAACCTCCGCCGGTTTTCAAATTTCTCGGGGGTAGTGTGGACGGAAAACATTTGATGCGTTTTCAGAGTGAAACCTCCGCCGGTTTTCAAATTTCTCGGGGGTAGTGTGGACGGAAAACATTTGATGCGTTTTCAGAGTGAAACCTCCGCCGGTTTTCAAATTTCTCGGGGGTAGTGTGGACGGAAAACATTTGATGCGTTTTCAGAGTGAAACCTCCGCCGGTTTTCAAATTTCTCGGGGGTAGTGTGGACGGAAAACATTTGATGCGTTTTCAGAGTGAAACCTCCGCCGGTTTTCAAATTTCTCGGGGGTAGTGTGGACGGAAAACATTTGATGCGTTTTCAGAGTGAAACCTCCGCCGGTTTTCAAATTTCTCCGGCGTGGTGTGGACTGAACTTAAGACTACGTGAAACATATCATCCAAAATATTAAAGGCAAATACACCGTGTGTATCACACTGTTTATCACTCATAAAGGTTGTAATTTCCTCATCGCTCCAACCAACAGATTTTTTAACGGATTTTTTAACAACCAGATTCTGGGTTATCACATGACAAGCCGCAACCAGGGTTTCTCTTCTCAACGACAAAGGAGGCAAAGGAGAAAGAGCCTGGGATGGAGGTTGCTAAGATAGCGCTGAACGTGAAAGCACTTTCATTGGTATGAAGGCGTCTTTGAGTCTGGACGGCTTGGAGTTTGACTGACATGAGTAGCCCATTTGAAACAATGACAACTTGAAACTCTGCCATGCATCATTACTTTGTTCAACCTCACTTGAGCTCTCAGTGCCACAACACGGCAGCTTTTCATTGTCTTGATCAATTTGTCTACACTGTATATAATAGTTTTCTTTCTCTTTACTCAGAGACCCTGCTAGTATTATTCACGCCTCGTAACATAAGGGAGACCCTCATTGTCAAATAGGATGAGCTCTTGTAGACATGCATACATAGCGAAAGGATTTTCACGGGCGGCTGAATAGACGTCAAACACTGCGGATAAACACTTGAAACCAATGGGGTGAAGCCA